GAGGAGTCGAGATGGTTTTGCCACCCTTCTTCTCCTATCTACATGAAAAAGTCAGTCTAGTGTGCCAGTCATGAAGGCGAAATGCTCAGTACCTCAGATAGCTCCCAAGTCCTGATGGAAGGAATAAGGCCACAATAAGGAAGACAGGTAGACTAGAAACGGTGACTCTACTAATTATGAAAGGACACGAGACACTGTCACTAAAGAACCACGGGAGCCTGCTGTGGGATGTTAATGTATGTCCTGTGGGAGCCCTTCTTGGGTTCCTTGTGGCGTTACCCAGCAGGTTTGCATAGAGGATGATTAGGACCATGGGCCTGAGTGCAGGTGTCTGAGATGGTCTGCACTTGGCTGTACTGGGGGATGGTCTGTATGTCAAGTTGCTCTGATTGGTCAATAAATAAAACCTGATTGGTCGTGGCTAGGCAGGAAGTATAGGCAGGACTAACAGAGGAGAAATAAAAGAACAGGAAGGCAGAAGGAGACGCTGCCAGCCACTGCCAGGACAAGCAGCATGTGAAGATGCTGGTAAGCCACGAGCCACGTGGCAAGGTATAGATTTGTAGAAATGCATTACTTTAAGATATAAGAACAGTTAACAAGAAGCCTGCCACGGCCATACAGTTTGTAAGCAATATAAGTCTCTGTGTTTACTTGGTTGGGTCTGAGTGGCTGTGGGACTGGCGGGTGACAGAGATTTGTCCTGACTGTGGGCAAGGCCGGAAAACTCTAGCTACAGGAGCCAGGGTTATCTAAAATACGGTTTCTCATTCATGCAAAATGATGATGTTTTCCCGATTCAAAATTATTAGCTCCCAGCACTTTGAAACTAATGAGAAGAAGAGATTGTGAGCTTCAGGCCTCCAGAATAAGCTTTGGTTCTGAGAAGCTTGCATGCTGCTGTTTAGTTCCCAACACTGAATTTTGCCCTTCCCTATCATCAGGGAACTGAGAGACAACAGATCAGGGAGATTCTCATTTAGAGAGGGAGAAATGCAACACCGTGAAAAGCAAGCGATGATGGTAATAAATGCTTGATGATGATACCCGAGGACATGGTGAATTCTGGGAAATTGAAGCAAATTGAAAAAGGGAATTCAGGTAAAATAAGAAAAAAGAATCCATATGGAGATAGAGGGTAATCTGAGCATGGATAGTGTATAGATATTGGCCCATTACCTGCTGCATTGAAGATCAGAATGTGTTGTGCCGTTCACCAAATGATAGCTATTCCTGAACTGGCGTCTGCATTCTTTGTTAATAATGGTGCCTGTAGTGTGGGGCAGAAACAAAGAATAAAATATCTAGAGAAAAAATCTGCTGAATATAACAGGCAAATTGGTAATCTCTTTAGTTTTCATCCTTCTTTTACACTGTTACATTGGCTGTTTAGAGAATGGGAAAAACATTGTATGTGCCACAACTAAATCTTCCAAGGAGAACTCAGAAATGTGGGAAGGGATATCGGTCTTGACGTGAGCTGACTTCCCGTGTTCTACTCATCTACAGGCAACAGATAGGTCTTTCGTAGTCGGATGACAAATAGCATCCAATTTGTTTCTTGTTGTCAATACTTTTTTTTTTTTTTTTTTGCAAATCGTATCAATAGTGTAAAGAAATCCAATTCCCTGCATGACCCAACTATCACTATAAGATAGGATTTTTTAAAACCTAAACTTAAAATTCCTTTTTTTTTAAATGTGAGTATTAATTATTCATTTGTATTTAAGAATTTCTTCATTAGCATTTTCCAGAGATAAGAATTGAAGGTATAATTAACCTTTGAAATGAAAACTGAGGTTTAATTAAGACTAGGTAGCACCTCTGTGCCTGACATCTTCCCAGTCGTGGAATAAAATATTATGAAGGAAAGGTTTTGGCCTCAAAGGAGGGAAATGAATTTTTCGTTTCTTTTTCTTTCTTCATTTCTTTTTTTAAGAAGACAAGAGAATAAGTGCCACTGTGTCCCATGGGATGCCATTTGATTGTGTCATTTGGGGGGGGGGGCAGACCCGTTTGAATTTACGTTCTCAGACTATAAGCACAAAATGCACCCACACCTAAAGTCTCCAGGCCAGCGCTAAGCAGCAGTGGGTTTTGACTGACATGTCTCTATCTGATGGCTCCGATGGCTCTCCTTAGCTCTATCCCAACAACTGGCAGTCTCTTTGGTTAGCTCAGTAGTCCTTGCACGCCACTGTTACATCAGAAAGACCTGGGGTTCTGGATTTGCTTATGCAGATTTGGGTATGGGTTAAAAGCACATCACAGTCAACATGTGTTGAGCATTATTCTGGGAGTGTCGACTTTGAAGGGCCTCCCAGGTATATATAGAATTTGGTATGATGAGGAGATGAATTCAATTCAGGGTACTCAATCTTATTGCCAATCTTTTTCAATAAGAAACCATCTCCTTGGTTTGCACATCTGTGTTTGATAATGTGAGAGAATGTCTTTGATTAGACTTTCAGGGTAATCACTCAAAGGCAACGTTCTCCTCGGCTTTGCCGCATCTCATAAAGTTAGATTTTGCACATTAGTGATGCACTTGATTGCACTGAAATAATATTGGCTTTATGAGAGAGTATAATCTTGTTCAAAATATAACTCCCTCTTCCCAAAGTGCTGCTATTTTTGTTCCAGGTTCCCCTCCACCACGATGCTTATGAGCATTTCCCAAAATACTATTTTCTTTGCCTTTATTGTCTTTTTATAACCTTTAATCATGCTTTTTTTAATGGCACCTTAGTAGCCTGAGGCAAAAATCACAAGTGGTCTTTGCTAAATCTTTTTTTTTTTTTTTGTAACCCTAACAATATTGAACAGAAAATGGTCTCAAGATTTTTCCCTAAAATACTTGTTTAAGGAGCCAGAGAGATGTCTCAGCAGTCAAGAACACTGGCTGCTCTTGTAAGGGAGCCAGCTTTAATTCCCAACAGCCACGTGACAGCTCACAACTGTCCATTACTCCAGTCCCAGGGGAGCCCATGCCCTCATCTGTCCTCCACAGGCACCAGGCATGCACATGGTGCACAGACGCGCATGCGAGCAAACCCCCCCTACACACAGAATATGGTATAAAAAGCTAAAATAAATACTTGTTAAATTTTCTACAATGTTTTGTAGTGTTTCTAAGAATCAAAATCCCTGACCTTAGGTGAAAGGATACATACTATCCATGTTTGTTTGATTTCTGCAATGATTTCTCTCTATCATTTAGAAAACTATACTCTTGGCCTTTCCTTTCTTTTCATTATTTATTGACACAGTTGTGTATGCCAAAAATTAAGCATTTTACTTCACTGCCCTTTAGTATTGTTTTTAAATCTGACGATTTATAAATTACATTCACACCAAGAGCAACTTTCCCAAACTTTGTAGTCTTGATTCAGTCTTCTGGGTTATCTCTTCTGACTGAAAGAAATGCTTCTGCTTTGTTTGTCTTTCAAATGGTGACTATATCCTGGGATGTTTCAAAACACAGTGTTGGCATGGGAACTGCTGGTAAGACACCAATCATTACATCTTATTGCTCCATCTCTCTGCTTTCTACCACATTTATGTCTGTGGTGGCCATGGTTTTGGTGATCCCAAGCCCTTGACTAGTGGTATCAGTTATTAGTCTTGTTTTCTTGTTCATCGGTGTAGATGAATGAAACTTAGACCATGTCCTTTGAGGAGAAATGGGACACATTTAGAAACCTGGGAAAGGATGGCCACAGGCTTGGTGCTGGCAGCTTTACCATCTCTACCCGGTGTTTAGTGTCTGGTGTCCTGTGAAGTTTGGACTGGAGGGAGACAGGGACGAGAAAGCTGCAGCAGAGACTTGGGAAGTTTCAAGAAATGAGAACCCATGCTCCTCTCCTGTCTGGAAATAACAACAACAAAAAGGGGACTGGAAAGAGAATGGTGGTTACCCAGACCTAGGAAGGGGGTACTGGGGTGGGGGTAAAATAGAAGAAGTGAGGTTGGGCATGACCAATGCATGCTGGATGCATGGTGGAAGTAGCGTATTGCACCCATTAATATGTACAATTAACATGCATTAACTTAAAGGGTCCAAAGAAAAACAAAGCCTCGAGAACACAGCTGACCAAATAGGAAGGCTCCCCAGAAGGGATGTCTTTGTGTGTGCAGTGGCTACACATCAGGAGATCCAACCCAGGAGCAAATGTGGGGGGGGGGGGGGGGGGGGGATTCCATTTCCAATGATGCATTCTGGTTCTTTATTTGGTTTGAATTCTAATTTAGAACTTAAGGTTGTTCAATGAGGAGGCTGGGTTGCTGGCCTCTCCCCAACATCATTAAATTAAGTGCAATGTAGGGCAGAAACAAAAGAACATGTTCGTTTCCAGAGACCGGAGCCTTCCCTCCAAGGGCATGATGGCTTCTGCTGCTGTGTTTGTTTATACAGCATCCCAGAGTCTTCCTGTCAAACTGCTGCCTCCCAGGTGTGTATCTATCGCTGAGGAAACACAACCAAAGCCAAGTGTTTAAAAGAAAACCATTCTTTATGGAGTAGCGGGGCTCTTTCATAGGACTGAAATAGATGTAAAGGACGTGGAGATGAATAGTCCTGCAGCTGATGGAGTCTGCCTGGTTTGCTCTCGTTACATAGACATCCACCAGAGCCTGGGATCTCAAGTGTACATAAAGACGGCTGTGTAATTGAGCTTGATACTTTTGTAGGGTCGGCATATTATAGGTTTCCCTCATAATGATAACAGAATCTTACATCAAGTGGCGGAGGAGTGTATATTTAAACCATGTGTGAAAGAAAAAAAGGAGAAATAGGAGACCTTTTCTTTGTGCTGTGCAGTTATAGATTGTCTTTTGTGGATGGATATTTATTTCAGATTTTTGTGGTTTTTCATGTCCTGGATTCTAGGGACGCTTGTAAATTGGTTTCAGATGGTAGCTGGTAAACCTGAAGGGCTCAATTTTTAAGGTAATTAACTTCACAGTTCTAAGAGAGATCCATGTCAGCCACAGGATAAAGTAACTTTTTATTTCGTTATCTAGGTATTGTTAGGTTGGTGGGGACCTGTAGGTAAACAGAATGTTTGCTTTGATTTGCTTCTGTAGCACCTTCAGTCAAATATTTCACAAGGACATAAGAGTGACCATCTTAGGTCAGACACACAGGCAATATTTAGCCTCTGTCATGGTCCCTAGTACATGCCAAGTCCTTGTGATGTAAAGTGTCAAGGAGCACACGGCTCCAATTCCGTGCAGCCTGGAGTTTTACTCATCCTTCCTTCTCCACACCACCAACATGCTCCTAACTCCATGGCCATGAGCTATCTCCTTTCCTCTTCAGCCTCTGGCTAATTCCTGTGGCTGCTGCTTTGTCTGTTCTCATTGCTGTCAGGAAAACCAGTGCACATTTCATCATCGAATTCAAAAGTACCCGTTCTGGCAGGAAAAGAGTAACACACATACACACCACTGGTTATAAAACACAGAGGAGGAAATCAGCTTCTCATCCTTCTGTTTTTCAAAAAAGTCTCCCAAAACATATTGAGGCAAGAATCAGATCAGACCCTGCTAACTCTTGAAGTGATGGGCTTTTTCTCTAAATAACCTAATGGGATTTGGCTAGACTAGCATCCTTTGGGGATTTACCTACAGATGTCTTTAATTCCTTACTTTGTCCAGCCTGTGCCACCATTTGGCAGTGATGTGTTCCACAAATTGACTATAAGGGAGAGAAATTAAAAGCACCAGAGGAAGAAATACAAATGTGGCCCTGGAAAAACACAAGATTTATTACAGTTAACTCAGAAAACCTTCCTTGAAGATCTCCCCAGCCCTGATCCTACACTGGGCGTGTTGCCCACCGTTCTGCTCCCATAATCCATGAGCAATCTTGTGGAATAAGTTCTCAGAGCACACTGTCATACTCTATCTCCTTGGCATCCCAGCCTCGCGTTGAGCTCGGTCTGTAGAGATCGGGCCTTCTTTTCAATAAGAGGAAACACGCATTATAGAATATTCTGGCTATCCAATAAATTCCTCAAAGAAATGGCCTCTCTTTGTAAGTCAAGAACACAAGGCTGTTACATGATGTAGAGCAGAGACTCATTTTGTCGAAGAAGTAAGCTGAGTAAAATGAAATAATTTTAGAATTGTTAAGTGATATGATGGAAACCTTTTGTTTCACCGATAAGACTAGGGCATGCCGATGATGTGGTCATTTACCCATCATCGCACAGCTGGAATTAAAACCAAATGATTGACTTATAGCTCAGTGTTGTTTTCACTCCAAATTGATAGCTTCTCCTAGCTTGCTAGTATTTCAGAAACAGAAGGTACGGAAGTAACATCTTACATGCATAAAGAACTTTAGAGTTTTCGTCAACACTGCCTTACTTTTAAGGTTATCTCCACAAGGCTGTGAAGGAAAATAGAGTTCTTGTTGAACAGATCATGAAGCTGAGGATCCAAGAAGCCAAGTGACTCACTCAGTCCTCCAGAGCATATTTCTTGATGAAGTTTCTTTCCTAGTAAGCTGTCTTCTGGTGCTGTGAAAGGAAATGATGTCACATCCCAGAGACTACCAAGATTTCCCATCCAAAAAAAATATCATCACTGGGTGACAAATATGCATCAGATGGAGCTTGGCCTAGGCCGGCCTGCCTGTAACTTTGGGGAAGGGAGGCAAACCACTGATTAGTAGTTCCCAGGACAGAGGGAGGGAGAGAATCTTTAAATTATAAATAAGTAAACAAACAAATATGATAAGGACATGGTATGAAGAGAGGGAGATATGTGTCCAGTTAAGAAGAGCCATCCTATAATAACATAGGCCCTTCCTTTCTGGAATTCCAGAGGAAATACTCCTCTTTTGCCTAGTATCTCTCAGCCATACATACCAGTGGTGTGTGTGTGTGTTACTCTTTTCCTGCCAGGAGTTTCCTCCAGTCCTTAAAGGCAGGTCTGGTGTGTGGACATGTGCCTGTGCTCAGAGGGCACATAGAAGAACTCTGCCCTTGGTTAATTTCTGCATTTGCTACCTCTAAAATCTTATAATTTTAAACAACACACTCTATGTTTCCATTTTTATTGGCCCCACAAATGATGTCACCAGTTCTGAGTAAGAGTCTGAGCTCTTGCCAGATTTTTTTTTTAAATTAATGTGGCACTTTATCCTCTTTTTTTTTTCAAGTAATGAACAAAAAGAGTGTGAACTATGGTGCGTATCATATTTTCTGCAAAATCAAGACTAGATAAAAAGTGCAGACCTAGCAACAAGTGGAAAGGAAGCAGAAATCAGGCTAGCATGATTATCTCACACCTATCAGCAAGCAATCATGGATCAAATATTAAGATTTTTGGAATGAGCCATGGAAAGTGGTGCGGCTTCAACAGTAATGCAGCTGTTGTATAACAGTGTCATAATGAGTGTGACTGGGTGATCCTAAGCTACCTGAGAGCTTGATATGTGAGCATGTGTTGTCTTCCCTCCAAGTCATTTACATACTTACCGGAAATTCAGGCTAGGATGTGGTGTCCAGTGGGCACTCTGGGCAAGCTCAGGGTATGCATTCTTGCCCAGTGCCTGAGTCATTTCCTCTTCTGTCCCCTTATAAATATTCTTTTATCGAACTTCATATTATGCCTCAGTTATATTTAGAGATAGTGTGACATGACCAAAATAAAAAAATAATAATAAAGAATATAATTTCAAGCTTATAAATATTTGTGTTTTATACATTTTGTGGTGTATCTTAAGATAATCATAGGGAACCATTTTGATTAGTTGACTCAGGTCCCTCATTGAGATCTGCTGAGTATACACAAAAGGACATCCACTAAGAGTAAACAAGAAATTTGAGGAGGTAGTTTCTCTTCCCCAGACTCCAACTATAAAGATTATGTTTCTTCTCAAAGTAATAATTATATGGCTTCTTTCCATCACTGGTCTACTAAGATCCTTTCTCTTCCAGACTTCTAGAATTCTGAATTTGGACCAACATATGCTTATTCACTCATTTATTAATAAAACAAAGAAAAGTATTGAGTACCAATGAAGCACAAGGTACTGGGAGGGAGGAGGAGGAGGGAAGAACACATTTTAGTACTTAATCATGGTGTGCAAGCAGTTCCCAAGGGCTCTCAGATGCACGAGCTCATGTTTGCTGGGGATGCTGAGGCACTGGAGGACAGGAATATGTCTTACATACTCTGCATTGGGTGTTGGGCACAGAATAAACTGCATAAAAACTTCTTGAGTCAAATTTATTTAGAAGAAAAATTATAGCCTGGCTTATAAACATTAAGAAACAAAGATATGATCAAACATAGTGACACATGCTTGTATCCATCACTGAAGCAGGGGAGGCAGGAGGATTGCCTGGACTACAGAGTGAACTCTGTCAAGAAAAGGGGAGGGGGGCAGAAGGATATCTTAGTGGGTAATGCCAGCTGGACACCCTAAGTTCAGATCATCCGAATTCATGTAAAAGCCAGATACAGAAGTGCATCTATCTGCAATCCCAGCATGCACTTGTGTGGGGATGGGAAGCAGAAGCAGGAGACTCACTTAGGGCTCTGGAGCCAGCTAGCCTGGCATGTGTTGCAATAGTGAGAGACCTTGTCTCAGTAGAAAGCAAGGATGGTACCCAAGGTTGTCCTCTGACCTCCACATGCATGACATGTGTGCTCCTGCAGGCTCCCACATGTGAAAACGTGCGCGCGTGCGTGCGTGCGTGTGCACTTCCTCATAAGATATTTTAAAGGCAAGGAGAGGAAGAATAAGGGAGAAAGGGGAAAAAAGAAAAAAATGGAGTAAAAGACAAAAAAGAAAAGAGAGAGGAGGGAGGGGAGTTAAGAAGATGAAGTGCTGACATGAGCCCGTGTGTGTGTGCTGAAGAAGGCAGGTGAATTTGTGTGAGGGAAGCCAGAAGATTATTACAACACAGTCTACAACACCAGAGAAGAGAAAGAGTATTCTCAGTAAACAGGAGAAAATAGAAGTATATAAGGCAAAAGATCCTGAAGTTTACAAGGAATTCTTTAGCTGAGAAAATAAAAGAATGCATAAAGGTTTCCTGAAAAAGCAAATGGCAGTTTGTAATAGTGCTGAGGGCTCTAATGTCACCAGGAAGGAGAACGTGGCATCTCCAGGAACTGCTGGAAAGAGGGAACGCTTCATGCCCTTATTTGCCGAAGGTATAAGAAAGCACTAAGTCGATAGGGAAGCCAGATAGAACACTGGCTTTAGATGGACCTAAATAACTACTCATCTGTGTGCCTACTCCTAACTAAGCTACAGACTCACCAGGCCAAGCTGAGAAAGACAGTGATCTTTACATCCTGATCCACAGAGCCAGTTGTTCAGCAAAGTCCTCATCCCTTTCCGTCCGTGGCAGCCGTTCTGTCCTTGTTTATGCCTCCTTAGCTTCTATAAACTATTCATTATTTGCCCATCGACTTGAAATCCACTATTCTGCTGTTTTCAAAGTGCCTCTCTTCCTCTCTCTGCACCCCATTCCTTTTAAAGTGTGACTGTGGCCTGGGTCCTCCCTTCTTGTCCCCTCTCCCACAGTACATTCCATCGCTCCACAGTTCCTTCCATGAGATGGGCTAAGATTCATTTAGACCCAAAGACGTGAACGCATATAAAGCAACTGGATGATCCCTTTTAGTTTTATCACCTGTCTGGGGCTTTGGTTCCCTCCTAATCTGTTGCTTGGCGGCTTAGTTGGAGGAAGATCATTCTCATTGATAGGGAAGATGGGAGCGAATGGGAATGCTAATGCTTACCCTTGTCTCTCCTGTCATCAGCTAATACTGTAATATCTGCCCCACGGGGAGGAATGAATCATACCTCCTGTTCACTCTAAACAATCCCTTTTATTGTCTTCTGCATTTTTTTCAAGCCTGAGTTTACTCTCAGATTTAACCCCTCCAGAAGCCACTGGTTTTTTCCAGTCCTTTTGCGTTGGGTTTGGATTGTATGCTGATCATCTTTCATACTAGTCCTGTTTCATCAACCACACCCCATTCCTTACCTTCCCGGGGCACTGCATTCTAGTTCATCTGTGGAACGCACACTCGTGCAGTCAACGCTTTACTGGTCAATGTCTTACTTCCCTCTCCCTTTCTCTCTGACGCTGTCTTTCCCTTTCTTCTCTATTATTTGCCTAGACGCTCATCTCGGGGCCGAGGAGAACTGTGTGGGCTGAGAGGTAAAGAAGGTGATTAGGTCTGAGGTGTTTGGGAATGGCTCTCCACAGGCTGCCTTCCCCTGACTTGTAGGGATTTGGAATTGAGCTTTCTCCCAATATTGCATCACTAACTTTGCTTTATTGTTTCAGAAAAAAAAATTAGCTCCCTCTCCTTAGTGCCTCCAATTTATGAATGGTGAAATGGCCAAAGTTAACGGTTTACCTTTCGGCTTTTAGGAAAAGACAACTTTAGAAGACAACCTCTCTTAATATTAGTACATGTTGTCTTCACATTATAACATGCAGCGTGTTGGAAAAATGGTGTGCATGCTCTCTAGGTGGCTGGATCCTCTGTGACACATTTCCATTGTAATGTACCACCTGATTCATTTTGGTGTCTTCTCTTTGGACTGAGTATGAACAACACTTCTTATTCACGACTCTATTGTCTGTCGTTTGTCTACAGGAAACCTTCTTCTGTTTGATGGCCTCTCCTAACCCATGCCCCTAATTCTTCTCTGCTCCACATTTACTTCGAGTATTTGAGAGATATCGGTAATTAAAGTTGTTTCATAGCAATGATTTTGTGGGACCAAGGAGCAAACCCCAGGCCTTTCGAATGCTGGCCAAGTACTCTCTCACTAAGCTCTGGACAGACATATTTAGTCCGTAGAAATCTATTATGCTGTTTCAAATTAGGATCATCAGGATGACATCATTTCTTTGTCTTGTAACTAAGCATTGATTTTTAATGCAAATTCTACATAATTCCATGCCAGTCTTATTTGTTCCATTAATTTTACTTCATAGTGTGTATTTATTATATTTTATTTCTATAGACCCAAATGATGGGCACCTATTCCAAACTTCCTTAACATGCAATGGAATTAAGAAACATCCTCTTGGATACCTTGTAAAGGACCTGAGGGAATTTCTCTGGCTTGGAACCTGGGGGGCTATAGAATAAATGCATTTTTAAACTCATTTTATTTTATTTTAGTATTTTGATACTGTCTGATTATATACAAAAGTACATTTCTAACATAAGCATTTTCAACTCCTAAGGTCCTCACCAATACATTGTGTCACTCACTTTTCCAATTTTCATCATCCTAATTGCATAATAAGCTGTACTTTTATATGGATTTCTCCTGACACCAGTGTGTTTTGTGTATTCATATTGGCTTGTTATAACTCCTAGGAATTATTGTTGGGTTTATTGTTTGTTTATTTTGTACATCTATTTTTAGATTTTTTATTCTTCTGTTTTTTTTCTTTTCCTCATGAGTGTGCAGTATTATCAAATCTGCCAGTGGTATACCTTATGAGATAAGATCCTTCATTCTGAAGCAATCAAGCCTACCATATAATTCCTATTAGATGTGATCATGAGTTGTGTTTTAGTATCTTAAGGAATATTTTCTTACCTCTAAGTCATAGAAATATTTTCCTATATTTTCTTACCTTTAGTGTGTATGTGTGTGTGTGTGTATGTGTGTGTATGTGTGTGTGTGTGTGTGTGTGTGTCACGTGCACATTCTTGTGTGCATACTAAGACACATGGATGTCGATCTTCTAAAAGAACAACTTTTAGAGTCAGCTCTCCCCTTTTCCCATGGGGTTCAGGTATCAAACTCAGGTGTTCATGCTTGCTGTCCAAGTACTCAGACACACTGAGCCATCTCAATAACCCAGTAACTTACCCTTCATATTTCGATCTTCAGTCTGTGTCCGTTCTAGTTTGGTACCTAGTTATTTGCAGGATGTAGACGTCCAACTTTACTTCTTCATATAATACACTACAGGATCTTTCTAACGGCAGCCAGCAGACATGCTCACTTGCCCCATGTTCTGCAGTGCCTCAGGACGGTGTGCAGTGCCCTGGGCAAGACCAGGGACCTGGCATCCCTTCTGCAAGGTCTTTATGCAGCTCTGCCCGCCTCCAGATTTGTGACAACTAGAATTACTATTTCATATCATGTCAAGTTCAACCGTATGTTTGGAGGAGAAAATGAGATAGTCTGGATTCTAGACATAGCACTCTCGCTTAAGTTTTTTGTTCGTTTGTTTCTTTCTTTCAGACGGGGTCTCTTTGTGCAGCTTTGGTGGGTTTGGAACTCATTATATAGCTCAGGCCTTCTGAGTGCTGAAATTACAGGTGTGAGCCACCAGGTCCAGTTTCAGCTTCTGTTGTATTTATTGAGTAGTTGAATTCATGGTTCTTTTGTACTCCACTTTTCTCTATACAGCATCAAAGTATGTATCTTTAGGGTTTTTTTTTTTTCCTTTTGGTGATATTTGTTATAACTATGCCTTTTTAGTATGTCTTATTTGCCTTCCTTATTCATTTCTTTTTTAAAGAATTCATTTCTTGCCAGGCAGTGGTGGCGCATGCCTTTGATCCCAGCACTCAGGAGGCAGAGCCAGGTGGATCTCTGTGAGTTCGAGGCCAGCCTGGGCTACAGAGTGAGATCCAGGACGGGCACCAAAACAACACAGAGAAACCCTGTCTTGAAAAACCAAAAATAAATATATAAATAGATAAAAATTCATTTCTTTTTGCTTATGTGTATGTGTGAGGGCCTGTATGTATGTATGCATGTATGTATGTATGTTTATGATGTGTGTGCTTGGTCCTCCTGAAGGCCAGAAGTTGGCATCAAATCCCTTGGAACTAGAGTTACAGGCAGTTGTGAGCGGCCATTCGGGAGCAGGGAATTGTGCCTGGATCCTCTCTCTGCGAGGGCAGCCAGTGCTGCTAACCACTGCCCCATCTCTGCAGCCCCTACATCCTTTTCATTCTTGTTGTTTTTCTTCCTTTCTCTCTTCACTCCCAAACCTGTGATCATTTCCGTTTTACACGTGGAGGAAGTTTATTTGTCCATGTCTCCTAATTTGAGCGTAACCTGGGGGAGGCTTCAGGGAGGGGAGAAAGTCTCAGAGGAAGTCAGTCAGTGCACAGTCTCCATCGCCGTGTGATTTGTTTGTGTGAAGTAAGGTATTTAATTGCCAAGCATAACTGGGTTCTTGGTTTCTTGACTGGATGCCCATTTTTATCTGTACATTTTCTCCCACAGTATATGTGGAAAGCTATTCTAAAGATGGGGTTCAGGCAATGAGAGTAGGTGGTAGAGGGAAAATCGGCTGTCATCATCTGTGGGACTAGGAACACCCCATAGCAGAGATACACTCACCTGCCAAGTATGGGGGGGAAAAGCTATTGAGTCACCCAGGTCTCTCTCTGCCTGCATAGTGACATATGCCCACTCCCTTCCCTGTCCCCACCCTTCCTTACATAAATTTTAACAGAAGATCTCTGAAACATTCCCTAGTCTCATTTATCAATACCACTGATTAAGCCTAAACCCCATGCTTACATTCAAGCCATGACTTGATTCAATTTCGAGAGCCTGAGCTTCATCTTGGTTCTTGAGATAACATCTTCAGATGGGCATGTTTTCAGCATCAGAGTTGATTTCCAAAGATTCTTGTTAGAAAAATCCAGACAACAATGAGAAATAGTCACTGATGATTCAGGTATTTTATATCAATTGTTGTTCTTCCTTGACACTCAAAATTGAGTCCCAGCATTAAATATAGGCATTATTAGACAATTAATGTCAGAAAAAAGAATAGTCTGCTTTATTTTCATTTTTCTGTTTCCATTACACTTATAGCTATTTATTTCTGTTGTTCAATCATAACTTACTTTGACTTCTTGTTCAATAGGTTCTGCAACAAATTTACAGTTAAATAGCATTACATGTCTCCCCTCCATCAGTCATCCTGCTCTACTCCAAGTAAACAGACAAGACTGGAGTGAGTGGGGCACAGAACGTGTATTCTGTTCTTCCTAGAGCACCCTCCAGTCACACATCACATCTGAAAACGACCAGCCCCTCCCCATCTTCTTACTCTTATATGTTGTATTGTTCTTTAAAAATGGACCACCTAGCCAGGCGGTGGTGGCACTGCCTTTAATCCCAGCTTCCTGGAGGCAGAGGCAGGTAGATCGCTGTGAGTTTGATTGAGGTCAGCCTGATCTACAAAGGGAATTCCAGGGCAGCCAGGGCTGTTATATAGAGAAACCCTGTCTCAACACCGCCCCCCCAAAAAAAAATTAAAAATAAAAAGGACCACCTACGGTGATTTAACAGTTTAAAGATGTATACACAAGTGTAGATTAGATTTCAAACTTTTTGAATGATGTGACTTACCTCTTATCATTCAAAGATTAAGAACAAAAGCCCTCACTGTTTACACTTACTCTCAAGATCTTCAATCAGGAAGAGCTACCTTAAAGGCCATGACATGGTAAATTATGGTTTTGATGAGGAATCACTTTGAACAGCACACACTCAGAGTTCATAACTAGGCACATCATCCCTGAACCTAAAACACCCATCCTCTAATCATGATCCCATACACGTTCATCTGAAGAATCAATGCAAGAGGAATGTAAGGTCCACAGCAACTTTACGTTTTACTGGGAATGTCAAGGATTTGGGAAGATCTGCATCCTATCTTTTAAAGTCCTTTATTCTGGGATCTCCCTCTTAGGGGAAAAAAATATGCCAGGGAGAATTATAGAATTATCAGAATGTTGATACCAAAGCACATTTCAAATAAAATAAATGTTTTCTGACAGCATAAGAAATTTGCACAAGTAGTATAATGTATTTCTGAGAAGGAATATTCATGATCTGGGACCTTATTAAGGAATATTGAGTGCACATGTATGTGTCTCACATACTCTGTTAGGGTTCAGGATCCGCTTAACATCCAACAAAACAGTTTCTGTTTGTTTTTGCTCAACAGCTCAAATCCTTTCTTCTGGTTGATAATAGGGAAATTCAAGACACACAGGTCTGTGAACGGAACCCTGCGTGTTGTTGTCATAGTTCACAATGGTGGGGCACCAATGCTTAGGTAGAGACCCTGCCCAGCCCCTTGTGTTATTTCTGTATGTTATCCTAATTTGCAAATGCATCCTCTCCTAGGTGATCTAATAAATATAATAAAACCCTTCCTTTCCTTTTAACCACCTCAACTTGCCAGATACACTTTGCTTTTAGCTTATCAAAGTGGCTACCTTCATTATTAGCTCACACTAGCTAACTTTTTTTTTTTTTTTTTTTTTTTTTTTTTTTTTTTTTCGAGACAGGGTTTCTCTTGTGTAGCTTTGCGCCTTTCCTGGAACTCACTTGGTAGACCAGGCTGGCCTCGAACTCAGAGATCTCCTGCCTCTGCCTCCCGAGTGCTGGGATTAAAGGCGTGCGCCACCACACACTAGCTAACTTTATGTGGCATGAATTCTGTAGAATTGGTAAGAAGAATTGGTAAGAAGAGTTATTACAGTGTTTTGACACTGAGAAGTGGAGGGCATGGGGGATTAATGGCTACCTGGTATTCCAGAGTGCCGAAAAGAGAATCCACTTCTCTGAATTTGAACCTCCCCACTTTACCTCGGGACCACATTCCTAACGACGGAGCCGTTCTCTCAGAAAGTGTTGGTTCCCAAACCCTGTAGTCCTCAGTGTTAGACTGTCAAAAGGCATGCAGGTGAAGTGGATGTCCATCCGAAGAGAGCCCTGGATCATCTGTGCCCCTCCCTAAAGCTGTGGTACCTCGGTTCCCCTGGGGATGTACCCGTGGCGGCAGAGCACTTCAGGAAGGGTGCAGTTACAATACTGTGTTCTCCGCCAGCTCAAATACAGGAAGCCAGCAGCAGCTAACAACGTAACGTTCATTATGCTATGAGATTATCTTAAATCCAGATGGGGCCTCAGAGACGGGCAAGCAGGAAAAAATTAACAGAAATCAGAAAGCCACAAAAACTTCCAGAACATGGGACTGTCCCCAGATCAACAGCTACAATGGACTGTCTAGATAGGCAGATCGGGGCTGAGGGGGGTATGCAATAGAGAAATTAGGGTCTTTCCAATTAATTTCACAGATTTCTTAAAACTGATCTCTATTTCACATGATCGACCATAAATAAATAAGCAGATAGATAGATAGATAGATAGATAGATAGATAGATAGATAGATAGATAGATAGATAGATAGATAGATAGATAAGGGTAAACAAAGGAAGTGGTCTAAGCCCCATAGCACATCTAAGTGTAGAGCCTAACACAGTAAATCTGCAGGGAATTTGAGCTAAAATATCTCTGTGCAAGGCAGAGTGATGCATTTGAATAAGAACAGGCACTGAAATTAGATTTCACCCTTGGAGAAACATACATGCTAAAGCTGAGAAGCAAAATGCCTCTTTCCTGGGGGCTCTTTTCCTCAACTATCTTTCTCCTTAGTGTAAACACAGGGTAGACAGCAGGGGCACATGGGGTCCTTAAGCAAACCAGCCATAGCAGCATCATGGAGTAAGAAAGTGTATTTGGCACTTGACCTTTGACTACGGTCCAGGACTCCCAACACCGGTAGATATTCAGTACTAAATCAACTACACTTCAGTTAAAACGTCAAGACTCTGAAGTCCCCTAAGTTGGTGATTTCCGGTATGAACTTCCCAGAGAATGGTTCCTTCTCAGGATCTCTTCCTCACATCTCTTCCTTGTTGGGCATGACGTAAATAAGAGACCTGGCATTCCCCAGTGTGCCGTTTTCTTTGTCCCCAACTGTTGGAGCTCAGAAATGACATCTGAGTCCTCCTCATTGCCGGTGACACATAGCATTTGGTTTGCATTTTGATGCAGTCATGTTCTCGGGTGCCTGCCTGTCAAAACAAGGTTGGAGTGGGCTGGTAAATTCCCTGACTTTAATCCTCTCCATCTTTTATTGGTGTGCAGGCTTAAGGTATTAGTCCTCTCGAGATCACAAAGACTCATTTTGCTCACAACTCTTGAATATCACATGACAAGGCAAAGTATGATTTTTATTGTCAGCTGGAGGATGCTTAACTGAAGAGTGTGGATGCCTCAAGAGGGGCCTCAAATTCCCTCAACACTTAACACGGGCTCTGGTAACAAACACACTCGACAGCTAGGTAAGAATGTCAAGTGGCCATGGCTACAACAACCAAGTCTGCAATTAGTATAATTACAATGCCTGCTCAGATAGAATAATTTTGCAAGGACTATGAAGGTTGCTCACGCCTGTGGTAGTGTCGTCCTCCCCACCTCCAGGCCTCCTGCAGAAAATTCACAGTAACCTGGCAGGTTCAACCATTTTGATCACTTTATACATATAGACTCTTCTTTCTTATTATATCCAGGACTGATTTCCTCGAAGATTTTTTCTTCTTCTTCAGTCTATGGGGTGTTGGGGGGAGCCAAGGTCATTTACATAATACTTATCTTAATAATAGCTGGCTTCCATTAATGTATATTCTTTGGGGACTTAATCTTTGTGCCTAGGCATGTTAGAGACAACAGTTTTTGTCTTTATAGAGGGAAGAGCATTCCAAGCAAAGTGTGTTGGTACTCATGCCATTTATTATTTTCCTTTTATTAATCACACTGATATATTTACGATGGGCTCAAGATGAATAAATTAATAAAGTCTGGTTGAAGAATAATAATACCATTTGGCTGTGTCACCACACATGAGACTCATGGGATGCTAATGTAATGATGTTTGAAAGAAGGTCTTTCCAATTGTTTCAGAGAAAACCGGTAGAAATGAGCCATACTGCTGGTGACCCTTGCACCCAGTAGAAGGAAATGAGTGACAAAAATCAGGCAAAGCAGATTATCTGTCCATCCGTCCATCCATCCACCTACCTTCCTGCCCCGTCTTTGTGTGCCCTAGACCTCCGGGGAGGGGGGACCTCCTGTTGTTCTTTACTTATTATATTCAATGTAGGAAAGACTAAAGTTAGTTTTATACTCCTAAGTACTCACACACTGATAGAAAAGTGGAAATCACCCATGGTTTTCTGTTCTGGAGAGTTAGAACTTTATATTTTTCCTGAATAACTTCCATAGATGAGCAATTAGATGCTGACTCACCTAAATTTTTTGGGTGGTACTTAAGAGGGCTTAGCTGAACAGTTTCCTAGTCCATACATGATGACAGCCTCATGTTTTTTCCTCTGTGGTTGTTATGGCAGCTTGTATTTACAAAGTGTCCTTTTCTGATAAGCTGAAAAGATTTTGTAATTCACTGTATTTTACCTGTGGAGACCCAGAGGAATAGAAATGTCACATCATGGCTGAGGGACAGAGCATGTGCCAGAACAGGGCTCTCTTACCTTGCAGGTCATTACTTTATCTTATCAGGCTGCCTGCCTGTCAGTATACCAATGATACTCACATCTCTACCCCAAAGTCCAGGGTTTTTTTTTTCCCCCATTGTGACTGGACCTCAGGAGACAGAAGCAGCCAGGATATCCTGCAATCACAGCCCTGCACTCAATCACAACTGTGTGAATTTAATAACCTCTGGAGTTCTGTCTCTGCACCTGGGGCACAAGGTGGCCCCAAGGCCACACACTTTCCTGCTAATAAGTGGATGGCGCTGTGTGACCAAAGGTGTTGGCAGCAATAACCGTGTGGAGCTTTTGGTGTTTCCGTGAATCCCCTCAGGAGGCCAGCAGACCATTGCACAGGAACTAGGAGGCTGTGGGGAAGTCGGAAACCAGGTTATGCAAAGCCAGCCTGAAGGCCCCCTGTCTTTGTCTACCAACAAGCCTGCACCCTTGTAATGTATCTTTGAGGTGAAAACAAGAGTATTCTGGAAGGATGTGTCCCACACCTCAAACTTTTATGCCTTTTATTCCCATTTATGATTATTTAGAACTGTGTATGACATGAAATCTGTGAGTTTTTAAAGGGAGCAAAGGAAAAGTAAGTGTGGTTTGAAAATTAATCATTTACCGTCTATGATCTTTAAAGTTGAAGGCAACAGGGCTACTTGGTCAGGAGAGGTAAACACTAAAAGGTAGTGCAACAATCCCCTGCTGTTGCTGTGTTTGTGGGGAGTTACTCCTGATGAGGGCTGGGGAGCGGACAGCAATCAGTTTAAACTAAAGCATGCAGGACTTAAGTGAGATAAAAGAAAGAATTTCCTGACCATACAGTTCTTAAACCCTGAAGCAGGTTATCAGGAGCACCTTTGGAACCCGCTTATCTTTGAGACCTTTAAAAACAGCTAGATTCCCATCTGTCTGGGATGGTGGAGAACAGGCGCCCTAACAGCCCCTCTGATTAGATTATCGTTTAAGTTTATTTCCAGCCTTATGATAAACAAAGGGATCTGGAAGTATTAGGTAAAGGCCAGTGTAAACATCAGGGCAAGCCCACCTTCCTCCTACCTATGAGCTGCTGACAGGAGACATGCAGGTCAGCTAGTCATCAGACTTGCCCAGAAGGTTCGTTCAGAGTCCAGGGTTTCTCCCAGTGTGTTGTTCTACTGTCTATTTTCATGGTTCTGAAGGTTTAGAGCTTTGGTGTGTATGTGGTTACATCTATTGATCCTTTTGTTTAATTTTTATTTTCAATTCTTTAAACTTTCATAATTAAATGTGTAGTGTTGTGAAATGATTTATAAATACTAAGGCTGGCCAGTGTGGTGTGTACTGGGTCAAAAAAATGGAAAGCCAGTAAATATCCAACCTGAGAGTGATACAGTGTAGTAGAACTGCTAATATTTTATAATTTTGAAGAACATTTAATTACCTAGAGAAATGCTTTCACTGAGGGAGAAATAGCAAATAGCTAATATCTGTGGCATGGTTTATAATGCCTTTACTTGAGAAAATAGAAGTATGGGAATGGAGCACACCAATAATCCCAGAAGGATGTGGGCAGTAGAATAACAAGAGATGTTTATGTTTTTCACTTGCAACTGTTTTAAGCTGTAATTTTTGTGTATATAAGTGTGTCATGTTGTCGGATTTTAAGTTAAAAAAAATGAAATACATTCAAATCTGAAGAAATGATCTTATCCCGAGAGTTAAAAACTAGCATCATCCCTGTGTCAAGCATTCCATTCTCTCCCTAACATTTCTTCCTGAGACAATTTCTGTTGTGTACGCATGCATGTGCGCACATGTGCTGTGTGTGGTGGGGGACACCCACTGTGTGTCTTCGCTTCCTATTTTGCTTAAGACAGTTTCTCACCGCTCGCCACTGCATAAACCAGACTAGCTTGAGCTTCTCCTGGTTCTCTGGTCTCTGCCTTTCCATAGGAGTGCAGGCGTGGCCCTGGTCCTACTGTGACAGCTTTTTATGTGGGTTTGGGGGCTCAGAACTCAGCCCCAAGGACTTCACCCAGAGAGCTCTCTCCCTAGCCTCCCCACCTATAGAATGTGAGACTCTTGGCTTGTTATTGCCTGTGTGCCTATTTTGTGATACAAATTAGGCACCTGCTCTTATTTTCGGGGAGCTGGATGAAAAAAAAAAAAAAAAAGCCCAGGCTGTCACACTGAAGACTTCCCCTAACTCGCCCCCACTGCCTCAGAGTCAATCACGAGTCAGGAGGCTTCATTGCCAACATTCAGTTCTCTCTCCTGCCAAAGCACTCTTAAAATGCGATCTCCGGTGTTGTTAAGTTTGATGGGAACCTTGCATGTTTCGAGAGCAGACAGTGCTTTATCTACTCAGCACTCGCCCTCTCTTCTGGGACTGCACGAAAGATTGGGCGGCTTGAAAGGGCTTGTGCAGAGCATGCACGCAGCAGCACCTGCACCCGGGGTGGCCTGTGTAGAAAGTCGCCTCGAACAAATTGTGAGCTTGTGTGTCCATCAAAATCTAGCCCCGCCCATAGTCATGCCTGTAGTCCACCGCCTTCTTACCCCTGATGCCGTAATTCAGGCAGCTAGCACCTCACTGGAGCTTGCGTCCTGGGCTGCTTTCCGGAGTTCCCGCACCCATCTATTCCAACAACAGCAGTTACTCCCCACCCCATAACCCGCTGTCCCTGTCACGCAGCGGGCGGTAGAAGACCATTGGCTGTTTCTACTAGAAACATGTAAGAAGTGGACAGATTAGCGGGGTTCGCTGATACTTCTATGGCATTTGCTTAGGTGGTCTCTGAAATTCCACCTCATGTTTATTCTCCAGTTGTGGGTTTTGCCTCCTCAGCCTGGAGCTATCCCTTGAAACGAGGCACAGGAAAGCATTTTTCTTCTCCATTTTTAGAACCCCGATTGCATTCCCAATGCCACTCCATCCTGGAAAGGATTCTTCTAATTGTTCCTTAACTCCAAGGCCTCCCACATCCCCGATTGCAGACAATCATAGTATAGCTTATTTGTTCAACTTTGTCCATGTGTGACAGCAGGCTCTTTAGAGACTTAACTTTTGCCATCCTCCAGTCCTTGTGTGTAATCTAGAAAATAGTAGCTGGCAGGTAAAACTCCTCAGTTGAATTAGTACATTAGCTAAGAAAGGAGACTAGAGTAATCCATGTTTTTCAAATATGTTTTTAAAGTATGTTTGCGAAATAAACAGGCAGGCAGGAATGTAGCTGAAGAAAATAACATTATTATATCAGAGGTATTCTCACCCATGTTTTTTGTAGCACTAGTCACAAAATCCAAGCAATGGAATCAGTCCAAAGGTCAATCAACAGATGAACATAAAGGAAAATGTGGTATTTATACAATGGAGCCATAAAAATGAATAAAGTAGCCACATGAATGAGCCTGGTAGATATTCTGAGTGAAATATGTCAAGCATGGAGAACAAATGCCATGTGATCTAATCTCATGAACAAAGAGTGCAGAATGGTGATTAGCAGGAGGTGGGAGACGCTGGTCAGGGGACATACGTCACAGCGGTACAGGAGAGCTATGGTCATAAGTTATGTGTGGCATGGTGACTGTAGTCCTTGAACAGCTACTCTGTTCTTGAAGAACTCTGGCAAGGTGCATGTTGAGTCCTCTCACCACAAAAATGGTAACTGTTAATTAGCTAGATGTAAGCATCTCACAATGCATACATTCTTCAAAACACCAGGCTGTACATGACAGATAGGCTTAATCTGCCAATTAATTAAAGAATACAAAGCAAAAACAAGCGATGGGTGAGCTCCAGTCATTAGTTTACAGTGGATCACACCATAGACGGTGCTTTTCTTCGCCTAGGGTCCCTCCTAGAGACTTTATCCCTAGAGCCCCTACCTGCTGGCCTGCTCCCAAGAACATCTTCAATGCCCCAAGGATGTGCTTTCAGAATGACATGGGGACCCTTGCAAACAAGGGAAGGGGCCCCAGGGAGAAAAGGGCGGAAGATTCTTAGTCATTTTCCTCTGTCCTTGATTTGTCTTAATGATGTGATGCAGGCAACAGATACAAGTTGTTTTCTGGAAGAGCAGCTCCCAGACTAACCAATTTTGTTTCAAATGAGAGGTCACTAGCAGGCAACCAAGTCCCGCCAACCGAGAGCTTAAGGAATCAGCTTCCCTTCAGCTGTAGCCACTGTTCCCCGAAGAAGGGCACATGAGAGGGCTAACAGAACCGGTCCAAGCTGGTGTGTGTGCGTGCGTGTGTGTGTGTGTGTGTGTGTGTGTGTGTGTGTGTGTGTGTGTGTAAGAATGTAA